CCTCTGCATGTCACATTGTGGTTGCCGTGGCGCAGAACGACTCGCCCGAGTTCAGGAAGCAGTCGGAGGACTACTTCAAGGTCAGGACTGTGCAGCGTCAGGGGGTCACCAGTTTACAGCCTTTTTTGGGGCTCTGTACAGCTGCTTTGGGCATCAAAGCAATGGACCACCTTTTAAATTCATATGAACAGAAACAGCAGGACAACTGTGGATATTCATTACATCATGATGATATCACAGCTCGCATGACATCGCAACATTCTGAGTTTATAAAATAAAATCTAATAAATCTCATTGAAACACATTATGATTGTTCTCAACCCCATAACATCAAAGACATGTATGATAACTTAAAGCATTGTGGACACCAATGACTCTGACTATCTGACCCTGCACAGGTGAAGGTCCCACACTATGTATCTGTGTGTGAGTAGCTTAGTGAGAAGCCATATGTCGTGTGTCCGCAGTACAGAATGTGTGCATCACATCCTCCTGTGTGTCAGCAAAATTTTCAGGGCCGCATTCCGGAATGCTCCCCCTCTTCCTCTCCCTGCTGCAGGCTTTGAAATCCTCAGGACTCATGGTGACATTTGAGGACGTCCCCAACACAGATCACTTCAACATCATCGAGCAGTTTGTCGATGAAGATTATTACCTCACACAGGTGTGCGTGCATGTCTTTTGTTTCTTTATGACTTCTGTTGGTGATGTCTAATATACTTTACTTAGAATATTTATAATATTAGATATTTAGGTTTAAGTTAGGTTTGTGAAGGTGAAGACCCTCTTGTAGGGGAGAGAGATAACAATGATGTATCATTATATCACATTTTTAGACTACTACAGAGATATTTTAATACAACATAAAACCCTACCTTGTAGGAAGTCATCTCCAAGCAAAAATATTTTTGTATGAATAATATATACAAACAGTAATGATTTTCTTAACCCAAAAATGACTACTGAAAATATCAAAAAATATGATGTGATATTTTTGCCATCCATGTCAATGTTTCTGTGATATCAGAGAGTAAAGGCAAGTATGGAAGTGGAAATATGTACTGTTGTTTTTAACAGTATATTAAATGTTTTTTCTTTCCATTTGTGTTTTGTGCAGCTCCTACTGAAGATAATTGGCAAGATTTAAAGTGACAGAAGGAACATTCCTGTTTTTCTCCCATGATGCACAATTTCTGTTTTTTTTTTAATGGGAACAGGCAAAACATGGACACCCACCTGACTCTGTCCTACCCCTCAACGTACCAGCAACATCCTTTCTATGTTTTTGTTGCTAGGATATTTGACAGTTGTTGGAGGACAAGGTTCAGTCATGCCAAGCATTTATAAACATATAGATTACCATAGACAGAGAGACATGCAGTTTGAGGAGACTGGCAAAGCTAACTTTTCACATAGATTAAAGAATGATCTTGTCACAGACCTGCTTGAACTGAGAGGCTTTTAATGTTGCCTTTTCTCATCTGATAGGTATAGTGAAGGAGGCCAATTTTATATAGGTTCAGTTTATAGGATATTATAACATTACTCAGATATGAACTTAATGTTCATGGGAACATACAAGACTGCATATAGAACTTTTAAAAAATGACAAACTTAAACATGAAAAGCCTTTGACGCATGACATTTTGTAGTGCAAAAATGTGAAATTATAATTGTATGTACTTGTTATGCACTAAATGATTACATTAATCTTCTTCCCTTTGGTTTAGTTTGAAAGTGTTCATTTTTCCCCAAGACAATTTGAATATGAATGGGTTTTCTGGGGTGTTAGATTGTCTTAAGCACTGCTCACATAATCAAGTGTCATTTATTTTTTATGTTTCTGTAACTACGCAGTGTACTGTATTTTATTTTAACTCATTTTTGAATGTCATGTAACTAATAAAGGATTGTTTTACAGTAATGTTGAGGGGGTAATGGAAAATGTTAGGCTGACTTTTTAAAAGGATCTGTTATGTACAGTTATGTAGCCCCACATTTGAAACTCTTTGTCTGGTAATTGTTACATAATTCTAATTCTTTACTCCATCAATGCCGTCACTGTTCCATGCCATAACACAGAGGCCTTATTCACAGTGAAACTTGGTGCATCATTATTTTTTCTCTAGACTTGGTGACCTCTCAGCAGACAACGTGCCTTAGACTTCACAAAAAATATTAGTCTCGGCATGTCAGACGTACGAAACGAATCGATAAGATACTCCTTAGTCGTGTAGGTGATCGGGTCCAAAGTCCTGTGCAAACCTTGGGTGTCAACTGTTTTACTGCGCCCCACCGACCCCGCAGCGACTTCACCACGGTGGTGGACGCTCGGAGCGCAGCCTACCGTACGCTACGCAGAACGCGTTGGCAGGGTAGGCGGTCCCAGCGCCTGTCCCGCACGATCGACGCGTTGTCTTCGCTGCCCGATCTCCAACGGCAAGAGGAAGTGCTTGCTTCCCTGACGGTATGCAGGCGAGGGAGCCGGGGTTGGGGCAGCTGAAAAGCTTGACTTTTGATTTGAAAGATCGCTCTGGACTGCCGATAACCGGCTCACAGTAAGTATGGCTTGAATACGTCAGTCAAGGACGTTGCTTGGTTCATTGCCACCGACGAGTCGAGCAAAGTGGAGGTGATCTGCGTACTACATCGCTACTGATAAACGCCAGCTTGCAGGGGACTGCTTTGGCAGCCGTTTGCATAATGTCAGCCGCAACCACCAGATCCTGTACCTGTATGCCCGTCAGATCGAACGCAAGCATCAAGGCATTTATATTAAATCTGCTAGTAAAAAGAAGTGAGCTAACGTTAGCTACCTGGTGTACCAGCGCTCGGTAAGCTATTGAACTAGCTACCTACCTAGCCATTGCCCCATTTCGGATGGGCTGCGTGTACTCGAAGCTAAACATCTGTCGATATTTCGGGCTTTTCAGAATAACAGTTAATGGAAGTCGCTCACTTTGTGCCAAAAGGACAGTTGCCAGCGACTGCGCGCAGCTAGCAAAGCAGTGTCATTTGTATTCGGCACAGTGATAATGGCAGACGTGTTAGCTAGCGTAAGCTAACGCTAATAGCTAGCAGCAGTCAAATATACGGAAGCCTTTGATGCATAGCTTTATCTCTACAACGCTGTGTTCATTATAGCCGACAGCAATGTTAACGTTGCATGCACGTGTAAGGTTAGTAGCTAGTTAGCTTAAAAATAGCCTACAATATATACCAATGCTAGCTAGTTCGGGGGAGCTAGTGACTACGATGGGAGCCGTCTAACTCTCTAACATTAGCGTAAATCACAACGGATGTTTCGTTTGGTTGAGCTGAGACGTAGTTAGCAACACTAACCTCTCATTTACCTGCAAATTAGTTAAAGTGTTGCGTTCCACTGTGACTGTGGAAGAAATACGTGTTGAAAAGAGTTAAAAAGAAGTTGTCATCTGCCTAACTTCCATGACCATTTCAGTGAGTCTGGGATTTTTACTTTGCAACATAACTTCACCTGAATGGCGTTTTCAGATGGGAACATATGGTACCGTTCTCAGTTGGAGGTCTTGACAAGGGGTAAGAAACGTTCCCCAAGAGAACTGTAGAAATTCTCAAGCCATGTTTAAAAAAAAGTAAGCTTTCCACCACCCCCGACGTGGGCCTTTGCCCGAAAAAGCATTCGTTAGGGGCGAAAACATAAGAATTGCCGTTCTGAATTGGTGTAAGGTTTGATTTTCTTTAAAAATGTGCCCAAGGTAGCATGGTCAAAGGAGCATTCATTAATGTTGTAACCTACCTTAAGGCAAACATGTGGTGTGATCAGAAGCCAAGGGGGAGCAGTCTCTGGCAGAACTAGCCAGAAATGTGGTTTCCGTAGTAAATCTGCCCACCTTCATTTGCAAGGAGCCGATGTGTCAATGCAAGCTTCACTGAGCTGTCATATTTGAGTCTCTGCCTCTTGCAGTAAAGGCAGAGGAGATGCTTGTACAACAGGGACATAATATGGGCCTGCTTTTCAGTGCTGTAATAGCTGTCAGGGATGAATTTGGCAACCAGGGACTGTCTGAAGATGTCTGACAGGCGAGGAGGAAGTCCACACAGAAAGGAGCGTGCAACACTCTTCACGGCCTAATTATATGTCTTCATTATATAGCCTGATCATTTTATTATACCCTGTGTTCTGGTACAAGTTCTCCTAACAATAGTTTTACATGCCTTAGCACTGTGTTGTGACAACTGCACTGTAATCTGAGATAATGTTTGCACAACGGTCGAGCAATCAAATGTGGCAGTTGTTGTCATGGAGAAAGGAGCCAAATAGTTCGGGGGAGTTACAGGTAATTCATCATTTAAATCATGACACAGTAGGTGGGCTTCATCACAGAAGGGACAGGGAAGACAAGTGAGTGAACGTGAATAGGAGAGGCTGGCTGAATGAGGCAGGTGTGACACTTAGGCAGGTAAGCAGGAGCCGTCCCAACCGCTGCTGCTCCGCTCTCTCACATACCTGGCTTATTTCTTGGAATCACCAGCTTGTACACTAGGCTTGTCTCACCATGAGACAGCCTCAGTCTCTTGCCAAGCTTTGGACTTTGCGATTCTGTTTGAGTAACTTTTTTGTGATATGTTCTAGAGCAGTGTTTCTCAGTCCTACTCCTGGAGCCCCCCTTTCCTGCATATCTTCTGTCTATCCTTGCTCCAAACACACCTGATTAGTGTGATTAACACGCTCTTAATTAAATCAGGTGTGCTCAGCTAATCAAAAGTGCCACTGATGAGTTCAGTCAGGTAGGTAGAGCAGAGAAAGATGGAAAACATGCGGAGCAGGATTGAGAATCAGTGTTCTAGAGCTATGGGGTTTACACAGGAGTTTTAGTAAGTTCCTCCAACTCCAGCTTATCATTCATCTGAATGTTTGTCTTTCATTACTGTTATTTTATCCATTTTATTATCCATGTATGCCGCTGGATATTTACTGAAGCAATTTTTTGGGTTAAGTACCATGCCCAAGGGTACAACGGCAGCGCCCCAGTGGGGAATCGAACTGGCAACCTTTGCGATTACAAGCCCAACTCATTACCACTACGCCACACTGCCGACCTGTGTCATTCACAGAAGGAGGCAGTCAAACTGATGCCTTGGTGATGTGAGTGCCTAACTGCAGTACTGTTGTGTGTTTCGCTTCTGTTTACTATTAAGGACAAAAATTTGCCCCCCCGCAGTGTACATGTCATTGGTACCCCCATGTGTTCCTAGTATTTCTGATTAACTCGGAAATGCCCAGTGAGTCCTCAGGATTCTGCATGTGCAATCTCAGCAACACTCCTTACTGCTGTCTCCCAGTGGCTTCCATGTATCCTGCAACCTTTGACCAGTCATGTCCCAATAATCTGATGCTGGCTCGATGTACTACACCTTCACGTGACTATGTAAAGGTTAAACAATACTGTGATGTCAGTGTTACATAGCCACAATTACAGAAGTGGGGACTGAAATGCAGTGGCTGATGGGTATTGAACTTTGTATGTATAGATTTTTTTTTGTTATAACCGGAGCAAAGTTTCCCCGGCAGCGGCATTTTTTAAACAAGAGGAGCACACTTAGCGGATCGGCCTGTTTGTTGGTGTGGTTTGCCCCTTTGGACTCGCGGTTAATCAGTTGTAATCCTCCCTGTGCCGGGAGAGTGTGCGGCTGGGGTTTTATTCTCCCTTAGTCATCGTTGCATAGCCTGACTTTTCCCCCAAAGAGAGGAGCACAAAATGCACTGGGGACAGAGCGGCGGGGTGTCGTAGACTCGTACCCGGGGTCCCAGAGATGCCGGCGGTCCAGCGCGCGGAGAGGAAGAGGAGAAAGGGTAAAGGCATCAGCGCGTCTGGCTCGAGCCGGGTTGCCCCCTAGCCCTGGCCTGGCTGTCGTTCTGAGACTGCGAGAGAGGAGGGGAGGGGAGGAGAGCACACCGGTCAACCACCGTGTCTCTGTTGTCTTGGACTGCTGTATTGCCTCTGGGCATGCTGACAGATACCTATACTGTACAGTGACAGTGGCAGCATAGTGGTAAGGAGCAGGGCTCGTAACCGAAAGGTTGCCGGTTCGATTCTCTGCTGGGGCACTGCTGCTGTACCCTGGGGCAAGGTACTTAGCCTAGAATTGCCTCAGTAAATATCCAGCAGTATAAATAGATAAAACTGTAACCTATGTAAGTCATTCTGGATAAGAACATCTGTTAAATGCCAATAATGTAACGTACAGTAACGTAATGTACTCTGCTGGATGGGGGGGGCTCTCTCAGTGTGTGTGCTGTAGGGCTTTGGGTAGCAGAAACATTTTTGTGCGGGTGTAACAATAGCACCTTTTTTCTTTTGCAGGTTGTTTTAATAATCATTTAGGCCTGATTTTTTTAAACTATGTGAAGCTGCACTGTGCAGCTCAGGATAAAAGGATAGTGATATGGTAAAAATACAGCTGCGGTGTCGAAGATACAGCTGCCTGGAATGCCCCCAGTTCTTGGAAAGAACAAGTGAAGTAACAGTAGCATTGATATGAGTTGGTATCAGAGCTGTAGTACGCTACCAGTAAAGTAGTTTATAGAGCTGTTTGATATACAGCAGGCTAGGATTACTGTTGCATTTTACAGTCTGCTGTGGGGGAGCTGCTTTTGTGTTGGAGTGGTTGAGGAGTGGTGTACACCCATAGCAGGATTGGGTGGCCTGTGGAAGTCCTCTGGAAGGGTGCTCTAGTGTTGCAATGCCAATTTAAGCGGAACTGGTTAAAATTTGTATCTGCTGAACACAGTGTCGTCAATTGTGCCATTGTTCCAGTGCCATTGTTGTTTAAGATCAGTTCCTTCATTTCGTCATTCATTCTCATTCTTGCCAATATTCCACTGAAGCTGTTATTCAGTAACTCCAGTTCCAGTTCCAGCTTTTTTTATTAGTAGTGTTTCAAATATTTGTCAAATTTATGTACCATAGCATCTGTGACCTACACAAGTTCCATGTCAGTTTCTGTCAACAGAATCTTAAAAAAAAAAAAAAACCTGTAGGAGGTAGCTGTAGGCTGCTGAGTGGCTGCTGTAGTTGTCCGTCACAGCGGACCGCCTCCCACCCCACCCAGCTCAGGCCTTTGATGACATCATAAAGGGTTTCTGTTTGGCCAGGGGACGTGTTCTGAAAAGGGCCATTGAGTGACGGGAGGCCTAGCAGGACGTGTCATTGCCGGCACACACCTCAGGGTCACAAAGGTTCCTGTTTCACGGTGTGAACGTGTGCGTGTTTGTGCGCGTTGTGTTACTGTGCAAAGAAAAAGGGCCCCTCTCGCCGAGGACGTCTCAGAAACGCCAGGAGGCTATAGGGACTTGCCCAGCACGGCACGGTTCATTGTCTGGGTTGCAGATCAGTAACACGGTTGCAGTTTGTTTACTGTAAATTGCTTTCCTTCTGAGCGGAGTGGATGTACACTCCAGTACCTGCCTGGCAGATGCGGTTACACATACCTCACATGCGAGTAGAAGAGATTCAAGTCGAGCAAGTCGCTCAGGAGTGCAAGAGGGGTGCGCCCCTAGGCTGGACCCCTGGGGAGGGTGTGGGGTGGAACTCTGCTGGGTTTTCCCGATGCCCCCAACCCCAGTGGTGGAGTGAGCTCCCCACGACAGTCAGAACTGCCGAATCACTGACCGTCTCCCATCACTGTCTGAAAATTCATCTGTTCAAACAGACATCTTGGTTCAACTAAACACTGAACTCTAAACATTCATGCAGTGTCCTCAAACACATGCACTGTTCTCTCGAACTACTTCTTGCACCTCCTACGGCACTTAGAATGTGCCTTGTTATGTGATGATTCCCACTATCGGATTGTGACACCCCTGCTGCCGGGCTGTGATTGAGTTTGGTCTCCGCTCCTTGCCTCTTTGTCTCCTTGTTTGCTCTTTTGTGAGTGGCTGTGGATCAGAGCGTGTGCTGAAAGACTGGATGTAACCGTAATGTAACCTGCCGCGCTTCCTGCTCTACCTGTTTGGCTTTTCCACCCCTTCGGTGCAGCCGGGACGGACACTCCCCTCCCTCCACGTCGGCATGCTGCGTCTGTCCGACTCGCACACACTGCCTCTCTCACACTCACGCCTAACGCTGCGTACGCCTCCGCCTGCACCACCTGCCGCGCGCACCTGCTCCCCTCTGGCTCGCCGCACCTGCGTCTGCCTGCGTTTTCGCTCGTGCCCCCTCAGCTGTGTCGGAGACGGACCCGGGTTTCTGGTAGGTTGGGTGTCTGGGGCTCTGTTGGTGGTGGGGCAGTTCTGACTGAGAGTGTAGGCATTGTGTCAGGCAGTCCAGCTGAACTCAGGTCTGCTCCTAAACAGTGTTTAAATACGGGATTGTGTGTCCTTTTCCTCAGGAATCAGCAGCTCGAGGAAAAAAAGGGTAAAATTCTTAAGGAAAAAAACAGGATTCATTTTTTTCTTAAGGACTCATTTTTATGTATTGGTGGGCACCACCCTACGTGTGAAGCAGCTGTGTTGATAAGGCTGCGTGCGTTTGGGTTGGTCTGTATTTTATTTGGCTCTGGAAAAGGCATTGTTGGGATATGAAAGAGTTATTTTGTCGTTGGATTGGGAACGCGGCTGGACTGTGGTGAATGAGACCATGCAGGTGTGTGTGGAATGAAGACGCAGTACTTATCATTCAGGTAGCACATGAACAGAGCACAGCAACCCGTCTCGGAACAGGCATATTAATTTCTTGTTTCATGTTGTTTGTTACATTCATGTATTCAGCCTTTGCATTGTTCACCCCTCTAAGTTTATAATCTGTAGATACGAAAAGTGTGTCAGCGAAGTTATGTGCGGGAGTAACCGAAGTGACTGCTCCTGACAGCTTTATATTAGCTTTCACTGCCTGGCTATGGACACTGCCGGTCGGAAGCAGTAAAGATTTATGAAAAGCACTTATGCTGTGTTTATTATCAGGGACTGGCAATGTCAAGTGGCCTAATGCTATTAGAAGGCCTCATGAGTTTGTGGGAGGGAAAGGTAACAGAACAGGTTTGTAGCTGCTTTTGAGGCGGCTTATAAATTCTTGTCACGCCCAACTGTGTTTTCAGGTAGCTACCAACATCCTTGTTCTCCTTCACTGGGCTTAGGTGGAGTGGGAGATATGATTAGAATGACTGAGTATCTGTGGATATTTTGTGGTGTAAGAGCTGAAGTGGAATATTTTGCTACTTCCAAGTTATTGATATCCATTATTGTATACAGGGGAATAGGCCTGAATCTCTCCTCAGTGGATATGAAGATATGTTATGAAGGTTATTTTAAGGTATGACCATGTATCCCTCCAAAAAAAGCATGAACTCCCCCTTCAGAAATATAGTGGTACAGCACTGTACCGTAGTAGTAGTTCTGGGTGGCCGGTGTCTAACAGGATGTGTGAAACCTGCTGTCTGTTGACGAACTTTAGTTTGGGTAAGAGGGCAGGGCCTTTTCCCCACACAGATAGGAACAGACAAATCACCATCAGCTGTTACACAACATTCTATGGAGACCTTTGCTCTGTTTCTGTCTCTTTCTGGAATTCAGTGTCACCTCTTCATCTCTCTCTCCCTCTCCCTCTTAATCTCATCTTTTCAGCTGTGTTTCTCATCCTTTGCTTTTAGTCTCGCTCTCTCCTTTATTCCAAATTTTCTGGGACACTGATGGATTAAGAAAGTGATGGTATTACTGACTGTATTGGTGAAAGTGTTTTTAATGCAGGGGTTGTCGTAACTCGGCTATCTTCTCCCCCCCTATCTTTTCCCTTGTCTCTCTCCCTCCTACTCTTTCTTTCACCCACCCTCTCCTTTCCCTGACTCTCTTCCCTGCCCACCTCCTGTCCTCCATTTCTCTCACCCTCTCTCCTTTCTTGTCCTCTCCTTCTCTCACCCTCTCTCCTTTCCCTGACTCTCTGCCTTGCCTGCCCCCCCGTCCCCGTCCCCGTCCTCACCCCCCCTGCAGGTGACTCTGCTGCCCCCTCCTCCATGCCTGCAGTTCCAGGCCCTGAGCAGGTGAAGCAGAATGAGTTCATGACGTCGCTGCGCATCTCTGTCGGAGGGCTGCCAGTGCTGTC